TCAATAGGCGATAGAACAGGCTGTCCAATTGGCTACTGCTCGTACGATTCAGTTCTAAATTGTTTAAATCGCGCATTGAATAACTCCAGTATTATTTGAGATCGCATAACAAATTGCATTCATCGATATTTAGCTTAGCATTACCATTCCCATTGGAAGAGCCGTTGGGGCTTGGGCTTAAGCGCATAATTTGTATGCCATACAAAGTGGGCACACAGTCGATGCCCTGGTCCGGGCTGGGCTGGGTTGGGCTCTGCAGGCGTAGAAAATTATAAATTAATCCATTACCTAGATTATGCAGATGTCTGAACGCATTAAGTGTCCATGGGCCATCGGCCCTGCTGGGCCTATGGGTGTGGTGGAAATGCACAGACGACAACAACTGCAGCGGAGGATCTGTTGGATCTCTTGGGCATTAAGCGTTGTTAATGAATGAACACACGATACAGCCAGAGCCAGCGTCGCAGTCTGAGTCTGAGCAACGGACTCAAATCGAGAATTGAGTTGAGTGGCGTTTCCATCTGGTTTTACTCGGCGGATTAGGGAGACGGAGAAGGAGCTGCCCACAAGGTTGTGTGGCACTAATGAAAGTCAAAGATATCGCAGCCGGATAGCTGGATAGTTTCCGAGTGTGGCGGCAGCTGTTTAGGAGTTCTCCATTCCATTCCTTTCAAAAATATTCAAAGTCAAAAGTGCCGCGCGACAAAGTCTGACCGCCGGCCCGTACCGTCCCTTCCTTTCCTTTCGTTTCGTTTTGTTGCCATTGCATACGCTTCAAAATCATTAATCAAAATTGAAAAATCATTAAGCTCACGTTTTTCGTTCGGTTTTTGGGAGAGGTGTCAACTCTGACATTGTTGTTGGTCTTGTAATTGAATTGTGAACACGAGGACGGCCACCAGAGCCACCAGAGCCAGACCCAGGTCCCGCTCAAATGGAACAAAATAAAATTTTTTTTTTTGGTCTTCATCCGAAAAAAGTGTGAAACACGCTGCTGCGAGCCTAAAGACACGAAAAAAAAATCCAACAAAATTTTAAAAGAAATTGCCGCAAGTCTGCGCGACTTCACAAACAAAAAAAAACGAAACTCGGCAAAGAGCTCCAGGCGATCGGTGGAGCGAAGCAGAAACTGTTCATTATAATTTTTGTTTTTGTTTTGGGTTTTAAGTAAATTAAGCAGAACTTTTCAAGCAGAGCGCCCGATGACACAAAACGTGCGCTCACTTCATGATTCTTCGAAAGCCTCACCAAAGCTCCAAGCCCACATTGTTTGAAGCAAGTGTAAATAGCAGTAATACACTCAAAGAACTACAACTGCGATAAAGCATATAGTTTTCCTTATATCATTCATTTAGTATGGGATAAATATTCTGCTTTTTAAATTGCACATGGAAAAGTCTTAGGCAGAAAGCTGAAGGCATTGGATAGAGATTTGTACACGTGTAGCATATAGGATATGTACGTATCTCAATACAATACAATATACATGTATACATATATGTTGGTACATATGTATGTATATGACCCCCCACCGATGTTCAAAACCTTTCAAATTACCGACTTTGTTACTGTCTGTAATAACAATAATTTCTTTTGCTGGAGACCAAAACGAATTTGTCTTTTGGTGTCGGGTGAACGAATAGACTGTCGGACGGTACGGTACGGCGAGCCGCGGCGAATTGCCAACTTTGGTCTTCGGTTTGGTTTGGGCTTTTGCATGGCCGAAAAAATGACAGCAGCGCAGCCGCAGCCGCCGCCGCCACAGCAGAGGCATGGATTGGCCATGGCACTGCGAGTGGAAGGAGCACGACAACATAAATGCTCAAAGCGTTGCAGATTGCATTCGATGCGCGGACTGCAGAGGTGGGGAGGGGGTGAAGAGATCGGCTTGGGGGTGTGACTGGAGGATGGAACTGCGAGAAGTGTATGGTGATGATGATGATGATGACCAAGCACTGCTCTTTTGCATTAATAATACATTTTAGACACTCGTCAAGCCCTTGCTTTCGCTCTCTCCCTGCTTAACGCTTTCTCTCTCTCTCTCTCTCGCCACCTCTCTCTCCAATACAGTTCTTCTGATCTGCATTAATATGTGTGGGGCGAGGCAGAGCTCCTTCTTACATTAACCTCACCTTATAGCAGCAGGAGCTTTCGCTCCTGTAATCTTCTCTCCCTCACTTCGCTGCTCTCTTGCGTAGCTACATATTTACATATACATACATATGCAGGCATTACCCTTGGTGCGGGCTATATAAGCTCTGGTCAAACCGAAAAAATAAACAATTCCGTGGAAACATTATTATAGACTATTTATCAGAATCCACTGAATACAATATAACTGAGTATTTTTCCAGTTGAGCCATTACACAGGGTATTTCCAGTTCGAGAGGTCTCCATAAAGTGCCTTGCATTTTTCTCTCTTTGTATTTTCTACTTTGTTTTTTGTTTTGTTTGTTTTTGCTTGGCGATGATGATGCTATGCTTTTGCTGCTGCTGCTGCTGATGATGTTGATGATGATGAGGAGGTTCACTTGCTGTGTGCTTTTTACTGTTGTTGTTGCTGCATCATTAAATTATTATTGCCCGAAGCTATTTTTCATCGAAGTACGAGTAGTGAAGAGTGTGTAGAGAGGTGAGACGGAACGGGAGAGGAGGAGAAACAAAAGCTACACAAAATTGGAAATCGCGTGTCTAATGCTTCATTCGAGATGCCCGGCGGTTCTCTTCTTCTCTTCTCTTCTGCTGCCGTCTGCCCCCGTCCACCATTCCCATCCATCCCTATGCTCTACTCCTCCTTCTCCTCCTCCAGTCGCTCCTCCGTCTGGGCCGCTTTCGGCCTTTTGTCTGGTCGGGGCCTAATGTAGCTTAATTATACAACCAACATCAGCAGCAGCAGCAGCAGCCGCAGCCGCAGCAGCAACAGTGGAAACAGCAATAACAATTCGGTTACTGTTAGCCCCACCATATCAAAAGCCAAGAACGAGTTGGCCTGTCCAAGCGGCAGCCCATCAAATCCATGTCAAATTCCCGCTCTGGGAGTCACTGGAGCGATATCAGAATGCTGCTACACGACCAGAAATTTCTGATGGCCTGATCATCCAGTCTGTTTCTCATTCCCAAAGCAATCAACAAATGCTTGATCCATGCCAATAATATTCCGAAATGGTTTGGATTGCTCAAATATAAGTAATATCGAAATTTATTTCAGTGTATTCCTGTAGCCAGAACATTGGAACTCTTTCCTGAGAAAACGTTTCTCAATAATTTCATGCAGTTATTTTTTTTTTCTGTCTCTGGGCCCCCCCAAAACCTGGCTGTTCCTGCGCTATCCTGTCCCTTGTTTTTTTTTTTTGGTTTTTTTTGTTGCCCCGGACTTGTCTAAAATTCTACAAACTCATAAATGTTGATGCGTCTGGTTCGTCATCGTCATCATTGTCGTCGTCCGGTCGGGGGGCTCTTCTGATGGACAATGGGCCTGGCGTGGCCTGGCCTGTCCAGTGTCTGTGTCTGACTTGGTTTGTGTTTTTTGCTCTGACTTGGATTTTCCATGGATTAATTTCGCATCAAAGTCGAATGGAATCTGGCTTCATTTGATGTTATTAGATTGCATGGCCAGTAATTGACAATTAATTGCCATCGACAACAGCTGCAAATGGTAATGGAATGGACGTCCACGTTCACGTCCGACGCGGGATGCCTTTTGAAACGTTTTTCTTCACTTTTTTTTTCTGTATGTGTGAAATCTGACGCAAGTTTTCACACCAAACATTCACTCACACACATCATAATGATCAAAGGCATAGACGAACAACAAACAAACAAGAAACCAGAAACATGAAACCTTTTTCACAGCAGAGGAAAAACCGGAATACTCGTACTTTGTAATGAAACGATTTTCTAATATTTCTACAAAGAAGAATTTTTGGTGCAAAGATTTTCCATATAAAAATGGATGAAGACCTCTACAAAAAATGCCACATGTACACAAGTATATAGTACATATGTATGTACGTATATCGAAATTATAATCATATGGTATACAACGTTTTATTAATTAACATTAATTAATTATGCCATTTATATGGATGGAATTGCAACATAAAACAATGCCGCCAAAATAATTAGATCGAAATTTGCTGCTCGAATTCGATAAGCAAAACAAAAACAAAAACCAAAGTAAAGTAAAGTTAAGGAAGCAGCAGCAGCAGTACACGTGAATTATATACCTATAATATATATATTATATACCTATACCTAAGACTATAGTACGCCTCTAGTTAAACTAAGCAAAAACAAATGATCTCTAAACAAAGCGATACCCCGATCCCCGATCCCCGATCCCATCTCATTCCCATTCCCATTCCTTCAGCCGTTTTTCCTTTTCACACTTGGCCGGCCCCACCTTTCGTGGCTTTTGTAGTTTCTGTTGTGCGGCGCGAACTTTTGTTTGCGTTGTCTATAATTTTATCTAATAAAAATGCCATAAAAACTTAGTCAAACAGTTGTGGACTTGTGTGTCTGTTGTGTGGCGCTTGGCTCTTTGTTGTTTCGCCGCCATGAAGCCATGAAGCCATCAAGCCATCGAGCAACATTAACAATAGCCACAACACACCAGATAATTCAGCACAACAATTGCAGTTTGTTTAGCTCGGTCTAATGTCTGATATTAGCATTAGTGGAAAATGGCCAATTGCAAATTGCAAATCGTATAATGCTAGTGATTTCCCGCGCTCATGTTTCCTCGTACTCCTGTGTGTAGGTTTTATAGGGCGGAGAGCACTGAATGTCGAATGTAAAACATGGTATGATTCGTAATGATCGAATGCCAGACTTTAAACAGGCGGTGACTCTGCAGTGACTCTACTGCGAACTGCAGCAGAGCATCATCATTCCAATTAAAATATATAGATATGTACATATATTGAATAAATCCAAGTATATTAAATCTTTCATCTTAGATTCATTTATTAATTGCTGCATTCGTTTTTGTTTGCTTGCAGATTGCCAAGCTGCTGCCTTTGATCGAGTCGGGCTGTTCGCGACGGGCGCGATTTCTGCTCTGCTCGGCGCTGTTTCCGCTCTGCACGCCGGATGTGCCACGGCCCGTGACCGCCTGCAAGTCCCTCTGCGAGACGGTGAAGGGCGAATGCGACGCCAATGCCGGTCCGGAGCTGATGCAGCTGTGGCCGTCGTTCCTCAGCTGCGACAGTCTGCCGCAGCCGGAGAAGCACGAGCTGTGCATGCAGATACCCCAGGACCAGGAGGGTGCCCATGCGCCGCCAACGGCCAGTCCGGCCGCATCTGAGCTCGCACCCGCCCAGGATCCACAATTGCAACAGCAGCAGCAGCAGCAGCAACAGTTGCAGCAGCAGCATCCGCAACAGCAGCAGCAGCACATGTCTCGCTTTTGGATGTCCTGGAAGACGGGTGGACCGCTGGCTGGTGGCAACGGCGGTGGAGGAGGAGCTGGTGCTGCTGGTGGTGGCGGCGGCAGCTTGGCCGCCATCATCTGTCCGCAGAACTTCAGCGGCAGTCACCTGAATCCGGAGGAGTGCCTGCCCCAATGCCAAAGGGACGCCTACCACACCACGCAGCAGAAGAAGCTAACGGAGAGCCTGATCCTGGGCCTGTCCGCCGTGTGCTTTGTCCTCACGCTCTTCGCACTGGTCACATTCTGGGCGGAGCCGACGCGATTCGGCTACCCGGAGCGCCCCGTGCTCTTCCTCTGCCTGTGCTACAACCTGTTCAGCGTGTGCTACCTGGAGCGGATCGTGTTCCACAACCAGGCCCGCAGTCTGGCACAGCTGCAGGAGTCGCAGGGGCTGCGGCTGCGTCCCGTCTGCCAGCTGACGCCGCCCTGCCTGGCCTCGTACATCACCACCTCGTACCTGAGCCTGTGCGCCGCCAGCTGGTGGCTGATCTTCGCCCTCTGCTTCTACCTCTCCTCGCACAAGAAGTGGTCGAGCGAGGCGCTCGAGAAGCGCTCCGGTCTGTTCCATGTGCTGGCCTGGGTGCCGCCACTGGTGCCGCCGATCGCGGCCCTGCTCCTGGAGCGTGTCCGTCCCAGCGAGCTGACGGGCATGTGCTCGGCCCCCGGATTCGTGGAGCTGCCCGCCCTGGTGCTGCTCCTCCTGGGTCTCTACTTTACGCTGCGCGCCTCCCGCTCCCTGCACTCGTTGCAGCAGCAGCTGCAGCCCACGCTGGCCCACCACCGCTTCGGCCAGATCCGGAAGCGGTTCGTCATCTTCTCGCTGCTCTTCTTCGTGCCCACGGCGGCGGGCGTGGTGGCCGCCCTCTGCGAGCGCTTCGGCGATCCCGTGCCCAGCTGCTCGACGCCCGAGGATTGCGCCTCGCCGGATTCCCTCACCGCCTGGCCGGCGCTGGTGCGGATCTTCTTCCAGCTGGCCGGTGGCACACTCACCGGCATGTGGGTGTGGTCCCGCAAGACCTGCGAGAGCTATCGCAGTCGCCTGGTGGCCGGCGGTACGCCCACCTCCTCGCTGATGGCCCAGAGCAAGTCGGCGGCGGTGGTGGGGGCGGGGGCTGCGAATGCCCATCACGCCAATGCCATGGGAGGCGGCGGCGGCGGCGGCGGCGGATACGTTCTGCCCAAGAAGCATCTGTACACCAGCGGTAAATCGATGCTTGCCAGCGGAGGCATCGCCGGCATCGGAGGTTTCGTAGGCGGTGGTGGAGGCGGAGGCGGGGCCACGGCTCCGCTCTATGCGGGAATTAGTTTCCACAATGTTCCCGTCTACAATCCCAATCAGTCGCGTGTCTAAGGAGCGACTGGCGCTGGCTTCAAGCCTGATCCATGATCTGGATACATGATTCATGATGCATGATCCACGATCTCCCCTCCCCATATAATACAAAAATTAATAATTAAACAAAAAATAATCAATTGAAATGTGTTAATAGATCTTAAGAGCCAGAACACTCTCCTTCCGCAGACCCCCCCCCCATTTTGAATAGTTTTTTAAGTATTTTCTAAGTCCTGTGTAAATAGAGGAATTTTAATTCTATTTATCCTTTTTTTTTTTTATTTGTATATGTTTTTTTTTCTTGGTAATTAATTAGTTTTTAAGGAACATTAATTTAATTAAAAGTGTGAATAAATTGTGAATTATAATATTTAAATGAGAAATGGCAGATTGTTTTCGTTGCTAACAAATGGCCAGGGATTGGTTGATCGCTGTAGAACTGCTACCCTGTAATAACCCCAACTATAAGAAAAAACAAGCAGCTTCATCCATTGTCTCCAGATGTTGCTGCTTGGTAGTGTCACCCAGAGCCCAGGCCTGGGTATCCCCTCGCACATTCTCCCTATACGGCTTTATGATACCTTCCAGAGATCAGTGGAATCAAATCCCCAATGCCACTCTGTGCCTCTTGCAATTCTCACGAGTCTGTGGTACCCCTCCTCACTCTCTCTCTCGCTCTCTCTCTCCCGCTCTCTGGCTGTCTCTCTTGCTTTCTCTCTTGCTCTGGGCTAATGATGCGAAAGCGGCACTCTTGAGGGGCAGGCAGCACGAATCCGTTTAATTGCAACAAAAGGAAGCTAAATTGTGGCTATTGTTCGGCCCCCCAGCCCCTGCAATGGCAGTGGCAGTGGCAGCGACAGCAACAGCGGCAATTAGATGGAAAATGCTTAATGACAGAGGCACCGGCGTTGATTGCCAGCGTTTTGCTACCAGCTCCACCCTTTCTCCTCTCTCTTTCCATACCTAATCCAGCACCTGTAGGCCTCCTCCTCCTTCTCCCCCTCCTTTACTACTACTACTCGTGCTGTGCTACCTGTTGTCCTACCTGTGCGTGCGTGTCGTGTCGTGTTGTCGTCTCTTCTGGGACTTCGTTGCCACAACGCCACCCTGCGAGAGTGTCACACACATTAAGAGACATGTCGAGACACATAGTAGTAGTAGTCGACTATTGGGGCACCCCCTAAAGGATGATGGCCCCTCTCTGCCTGTGAGTGTGTTTGTGGGTACTGAACAGCAGCAAAAGCAATTCAACAACGGACTTAATAGCCGAGCCGCAATTAATTTGATTGAAGCTGCCACACCGCGTGCCGGGCAACGTTTCTATCCAACAAATTGCCAGGCGGTCGGTGCAACAGCAACAGAAACATGTGCCAGCAGCAACACAGCAAACACACAGCAAAAGCAACAACCAAAAGCCTCAGCGGCAGCAACTGTGCAGCAAGCGTGCAATTAACTCTTGTGCGCCAAGATCAAAGCGATTAAAGCCGCCCTGCCAGACAGCCAGACAGCCAGACAGACAGACGGACAAAAAGAGTCGCCTTCCCCCCTTGGCTAAGACCAAAGACCTGCAGACCGACACCGAAGATTGGGACCAAGACGGGCCCCAAACACTGAGAATAAGCCAAGCCAAGCCAAGCCAAGCCAAGCGAAGCGAAGCGGCCCAACTCTCTGACGCTTTATCGTCATCCTCATCGGTGTCGTAGTATTCTCTGTTGTTCTAAGTTATTCACAGCCAACACGGAGTCGACCATGGGGATGCCCAGTAATCGAGAAAAATATGGGAAGGAAGAATGGATAAATGCAAATAGAATAGACATGGAAGCCACAGGTAGATCCTCCTCCAAGATCTAGTCGAAGAACTGTATGAAGGAGGAAGCACGCTCTCCGTTACCCTCTTCTATCCGGCGGTATGCAGAAAGCATCTAGCAATGGGCGCTGGAGTGGTGCAGAGGCCGATCGAACCCCAGGCAAGAGGCAGAGTTCGGGCTTTGGCTTTGGCCATTTACGAGTGTTAAATGTGCCCAAGAACTGTGCGGCTGGAACCCACAGAGTAAATGCAACACAAAACGAATCGAATTGTGGGACAAATGCACTTCAATGAGCCACCAAATTGGCCATTAGCCATGGGCCTCCAAACCGGTCTCAAATTTCAATTTGTTTGCCAACCTCCGAGAGTGCGGCCCGGCCCGGCCCTGCCCGATTTCCACGCTAAATTATCATTAAGCCACAAATGGAGGAACTATTACGGGAATGTTTTTGGAAAGAGAACTTTGCCTTGGGGGGCGGAAGTTTGGATGAATGCAAGGCACGACACGGCACCTGTTCTTCTTCCTCCACAATTCGGCACAAAGTACAGAAGTTTGCGTTGTACCTTACTTAAGGCTGTTTATAGAAAATTGTAAATTACAATACTAAACTTATGAAGTATGTTCCAAGCTATGTAAGCGCAGGAAGGTATTGCATAGATGATTTACGAAGGTAGCCCCGTTTTTATGGGGTATTAACTTGCACTTTGGATCTGTTTATTCTGCAGCCCGGGGACTGAAAAGTATTTTCCAAGTCTGTCCTGGAAGGAATCATAAAACCATTAACTGAACTGCTAAAGTGAAGCCTAACCTCTCACCTAACCTTTCAGATCTGCTCGATCCGCTTTTTGTGGGTCGTCTGTTCTGTTGTGCCACCCGGCAAGTGCAAGCTACAGATGTTGCACAGGACGCGAAGAGGAGCTCTTTTGCGGTAATGTCTGGAGACGATAGATATCACGGACCGTAATAATTTGTACCTCAAGTTTTAAGGATATTCTTTAGTTATAATCATTATTTTGCAGTTCATTTATCAATTATATTCGATAATAATTATGTTTGAGGAAAGAAAATAAAACTAAAAAATAATGATTTAATTATGCATTTTATTTTTTCCACTCAAAATATAAAACTCATAGTTAAAAAAAGAAAAAAATGAAAAAAAAAAATTATAAATATCTTTATATCCAGCCAGCCAGCAACTTCTGGTTGGTATGGGCCCCACAGGGTGGGGCCAGGAACATCACCAACCAGGACGGGGGGGCCACCGCCAATACTCGCCGGGCTGGAGCCGAAGCCCCACCACAAGTCATTCAAGGCAACACCAAGTACGTTTAGCCCCAGAGACTGACCGGGCAGGATGCAAACGCCCAGAGCCCAAGGAAGGCCCGCACAGCCACCGAGGAGGCAAACCACGGGGAGGCAGGCCAAAAGGGAGGGGTAAGGGACCCGGGGGGGGGGCAGAGGGGGCCCAGGGGCGGGGGAGGAAGAACCACCGTAGCTGAAGCGGAGAGGGGGGGGGAGGGGCAACAAGGGCACGGGACGGGGGCGGTAACTGAGGAGGCCCCAAGGATGGCCAATGGGCTAAGTACAAAACACCTGGTGGGCCCAGCGGGTGACCAAAGGGACCCGGCGCCAGCTGCCGAGCACAGGTGCCTCCAAGGGGAAGTAGGGAAGGTGGTAGCCTTCCCGGGGGCACAAGGAGGTGGGGGGCGGCACCAAGGGGGGGGGGGGGCCCGGGGAGGGGGGGGGGAAGCGAGCGGGGGCCAAGAACGGGTGGGGGGGGGCCTGGGGGGGGGGCAGAGGACACCACAAGGTGGGGGCCACGGGGGTGGTCAAGGGGGGAGAGGGGGGCCAGCCCAGGGGGGGGGGGGGGGCGGGAGGGAGGGGGGGCGGGCCGAGAGAAAGGAGGGTAGAAGGGGGGGCCATGAAAGGGTGAGAAGGCCACCATGCGTACGAAAGAGTGTAGAGACGGGCCGACCGCTGCATGGATGGTGCGCCCGCTTTGTGGTGGCAAGCGAGGGGTAGGCAGGGGGGGGGGGGGGGGCGGCCTGGGCGGCGAGGGGGGGAAGAGGGGAAGGGGGGGGGGGCAAGGACCCGGGCGGGGGGGGGCACCGGGGGGGGGGGGGGGGGGGGGGGGGGGGGGGGGGGGGGGGGCCAGAGGCACCGGGGAGGGGGGAGGGGGGGGGGGGGGGGGGGGGGGGGGCGGGGGAGTGGGGGCTGGCTAGGGGCTGGAAGGCGGGGGCAGGAGGGGGGAGGGGGGCAAAACCGGCCCCTCCCACGGAAGGAGGGGCGGGGGGGGCCCCCCGAACGCCCCCCCCCCCCCAAAGGGAGGGAAAAAGTACCCGGGCGCCCCCGTACCGGCACTGGGGCCGGCGGGCCGAAAACCTGGGCAACGGGCGGGGGGCCCCGGGCGCCTCCAACCTTTACTAATTCAGCCAAAACGAAAATTAAACAAGTTTTAGGGATACAACAAGAAAAACATGGAATTTATTTAATAAAATTTGGTTTCTAATCCTATTTTTAGGGCATAAGCCCCAACATTTTTTGACACAAATTTTATTATTTTTAATATAAGCTATTAGAGAGTACCCCAATTAGCCACAAAGCCATGCTTTTTTTTTCCACTCCCCACAATCGGTTCATTATTCAATTTAATTTATTGTATTTAAAAGTCAATTTTATTCATTAAACATAAAAATAAATTTCCAATATATATTCCATTAAAATTTTTGTTTCTTACTAAAAAGTATAGGGGCAGCTTCACCCTTCCAACACCCTGTATTAACCATTAGATTGCATTTTACTTCATTTGAATTATCTTTAACTTCAACTAGTCTCCGCTTGGGGGCGCTACTATTATATGCTGCCAGCACCATCTAGCACTGCATTTGACCACCAAATTTGACCGTTGGCGGCGCTGGTGTGAAAAAAGTTTATCCCATAAACTGCACAGCACGGGGCATTGCATACTTTTCAGCTGCAAATTGAGCGAAATTAGCAGGCTTAGTTCAAGCGCCGACCGCTTGAAGCGCCACTGCGCGTACATTTTTATGCCCGTACTCAAAAAGAGTTAAGAGTTGTGATTAGGTTTGAGGTAAAATTGGATGTCTGCAACGCAAAGAAGGAAACGTTTCCGGACCCATAAAGTATATATATTCTTGATCAGCATCAGTCTACATCTGTCTGTCTGTCTGTTAAAGCGTAGTATCGTAGAGAATGACCATATCTACCAGATTGCCATATCAGAATCAGATCGGATCATTATTATAGCCAGAGTAAAGAAATTAACATGCAGTTTGCTACCCCCGCCTCCTCCGGCGCTGCTGACGCTACCTTATTCTCTTTCTCGCCCGCACACAATCTGCCCTATGGAGTGCGCGACCTTTCGCAGAGAAGATGTAGAATCTAAAATCTACATTTCATATGTAGAATAAACATGTTAAAATGTAAAAGCTACATAAAGCTCAAAAATGTATATACTGACTGAGTACGGGTATAAAAGTAGAGTCGCGTGCACAGAAGCGACTCACACGTTCCTTCTGGTTGCTACAAACACATAAACGGCTTGGATGAAACGGCTTGATTTAAGCCCGAAGCAAAGAAACCACAGCTTTATGCTGAACTTATCGATAGCAGAGCTCCAAGGCAGCCATGAGCTGGCCAAAACCAGACACCGACCAAACAGCTGGGCCCACAACAGAGCCAGTATTGGGCCAGAATCAGAGCCAGGGCGCGAGCCAAAGCAAAAGCCCAAAGCCGCAAAGCCGGAGCTGAATCAGGTCCAAGACCGGTTTGGCAGCGGTGCGTGGAAACGGAACGGGGAAAGAATGCCATGCCGAAAGAGAAAGCATTCTCCAGCGATCACTTCAGTTGTTTTTGTTGACGTGTGCAGCTCGGAGGGAAATGCTCCACCCGTTCCACATCCAGATTCAGATCGAGATCTAGGGTGAAAAATTCTAGAAAATATGGCAGCCAGCGTCGTTAAGGCACCCAAATGTCCCAGACGAGGATCGGCCAAAGAGCAGCAGCAGCAGCAGCAGCCAAAGGCCTCAGCCAGCAAGTCAAACAAAGAGTCAAATAATTGGTAAGTGGCACACAAATCTTGATACAAAATCAAATGCTGAAAACTTAAAGCTGACTTCCAGGCATTGGTGGATGCTGCTGGCCTCTGTGTTCCTCGTTACCTTTGCCACTCGCTTCTACAAGGTCACCGAACCGGATCACATCTGGTAAGGCATCCCGGATGCCGCGATTGGTGTCCATCTCTCTGACTGGTGTCTCGCCTCTCTTTTTGTTGCAGCTGGGATGAGACACACTTTGGCAAGATGGGCAGTTGGTACATCAATCGAACCTTCTTCTTCGATGTCCATCCACCGCTGGGCAAGGTGAGCTTTACGAGAATGCGTATTGAAATAATTCCCATAATTATTTTGCATCTCTACAACAGATGCTCATTGGCCTGTCTGGCTACTTGACTGGCTACAATGGAACATTTCCGTTCGAGAAGCCCGGGGATAAGTACAACGAGACGGCCTATCAGGGCATGCGATATGTGAGTGGTTGTGGATGTGGATGGTTCTTATTGATCCTTATCCTCCTTATCGTTACTTCTCTTGCATTGCAGTTCTGCACAACGCTGGGGGCACTGATCATGCCCATGGGCTTCGATACTGTCTACGATCTGACGCGATCCCATGAGGCGGCGCTGCTCTCGGCAGCCTATCTGATATTTGGTGAGTGGCATTCGACCCCCCCATGCAACCCCCTGTAATCCATTTGTGCGACACTCCATTTAGATGTGGGCCTGCTGACGCTGAATCAGTACATCCTGCTGGATCCCATTCTGCTGTTCTTTATGATGGGCTCCGTCTGGGGCATGGTGAAGATCTCAAAGGCCACCGCCTCGGGTGGTTCGTACAGCATACGATGGTGGTTCTGGCTCTTCCTCACCGGCACCATGCTCTCGTGCACGATCAGCGTCAAGTTTGTGGGCCTGTTTGTGGTGCTGCTGGTGGGCCTGCACACGGCCACCGAGCTGTGGATCATACTGGGCGATCTCGGCCAGCCGATTGTGGAGACCCTCAAGCAGATCGCCTGCCGGGCCATCAGCCTCATCCTCTGGCCCATCCTCCTGTACACGCTCTTCTTCTACATCCATCTGAGTGTGCTCAATCGCAGCGGCAATGGCGATGGCTTCTACAGCTCCGCCTTCCAGTCGCGTCTCATCGGCAACTCGCTGTACAACGCCAGCATGCCCCGGGACGTGGCCTACGGCTCCGTGGTGACCATTAAGAACCACAAGACGGGCGGCGGCTATCTGCACTCCCACTTCCATTTGTATCCGAAGGGCTCGGGCGCCCGCCAGCAGCAGATCACCACCTACACCCACAAGGATGACAACAACAAGTGGCTGATCAAGCCGCACAACAAGCAGCGGCTGCCCAAGGACAAGCTGCAGCTGCTGCGGCACGGCGATCTCGTCCGGCTGGAGCATTTGGTGACCAAACGGAATCTGCACTCGCACAGCGAACCGGCGCCCATGACCAAGAAGCATCTGCAAGTCACGGGCTATGGTGAGGTGAGGCGAGGCGTGTCTCCTTCAGTCGTCCACAAACGAAACGAAACGAATCTCTGAATCTGTTCATTGCAGGCGGGCGCAGGCGATGCCAACGATGTGTGGCGCGTACTCGTTGTGGGTGGCAAGGTCAATGAGACGGTGCACACGGTCACCTCGCGGCTGATGCTCATCCACTATCTGCAGAACTGCGCCCTCACCTCCAGTGGCAAGCAGCTGCCCAAGTGGGGCTTCGAGCAGCAGGAGGTGTCCTGCAATCTGAATGTGCGCGACAAGTACGCCCACTGGAACATCGAGGACAATGAGCACAAGTTGTGTGGGTATTTTCAACCATCCTCCCATTATCCATCCTTATGCCCCCTCATCCTGATCCTTTCCCTTCCTGCAGTGCCCAGTGTGAGCTTTAGTGTCTATGCTCCGGGTTTCTTTGCACGCTTCCTCGAGTCCCATGCCGTCATGCTGCAGGGCAACGCGGGCCTCAAGCCCAAGGATGGTGAAGTGACCAGCAGACCCTGGCAGTGGCCCATCAACTATCGGGTAAGCCACGAAAGCAATCAAAGATCAAAGTCTTTACACATTCCCCTCTACTCCACGCAGGGTCAGTTCTTCTCTGGCAGCAGCTATCGCATCTATTTGCTGGGCAATCCCGTCATCTGGTGGAGCAATCTGGTATTCCTGGGCCTCTTCGTGGCCGTCTTTCTGGCCAATGCCATACTACAGCAGCGACGCGCTGGCCAGCTTCGGTCCCAGCTCCGCTCTCAAGTGTACAGCGAGGACAGCGAACCCTCCACCACGGATCTGTGCAGCTGCTGTCCAGAGGAACAGTTGGAGCAGCAGCAGCAGCAGTTGCAGCACAGCGATCCACTTCGGGCAGCTGCCTGGCTATTTGTCGGCTGGCTGCTCCACTATCTGCCCTTCTGGGCCATGGGGCGAGTGCTCTATTTCCATCACTACTTTCCGGCGCTCATCTTCAACTCACTGCTGACAGGTAGGTTGCAGGTTGCAGGTTGCGGGTTGCGTGTTGCGGGTTTGCTGGCCAGCACTGACCTCTGTCGTGTCGCCCCCAGGTGTGATGTTCAACTATATTATACAGTCGCTGCCCCGTTGGATACAGCACATACTGCTGGGCGTGCTGCTGTCGCTGATTGTCTATAGCTTTGCGCTCTTCTCGCCCCTGGCCTATGGCATGAGCGGTCCCCTGGCCAATGAGCCCAACAGCACCATGCACAGCCTCAAGTGGCTGTCCACGTGGGAGTTCTAGGCGTGCCTCTAGCTAGCTATGAGTAGGTATAATGTATTTAATGTTTAGTTTTTTGCGCTTAGGACTACGTACCGAATAAAAGTATCAACGAGGAACAACAACAACAAAAAAAAAAAAAAAAAAAAACACAATCACATTAGTACGAAATTAGTGCCAAAAAAAAAAACATTAAGCCGATGGATAAACCATCCATCCAGATTGAATATAAATAGATCGATCAAGCATCTGGGCGGGGGTGGGGCTGATCAATCGAATATACCAAGCTCATCGAAGCGACGTAGGGCATAGCGCAGGGTGTCCGTGGTGCGGGGATTTGAGGAGAACATCAGCTGGACCTTTGTCTTGGCAAAATCGGGATCACTCAACGCCTCCATGCTGATGTCGTACGAGTCCTCCTTCTTCATGGTGACCATCGGCAGGAAGGCATACGACGAGAAGAAGCCGTACAGCTCACGGGCCCTGATCTCCTGCTGGATGTCCGCATAGCTGGGCACAAACTCATAGTGCATCCGCTCGAGGCTCTCGCGCAACGCGCCGTAGTACGTTTGGATGAGGAACTCTCGCCGATGGATGAGCACATCCAGCTGGACGCTGCTGTTCAGAAAGAAGTTGATGTCACATCCCGGACTGCCAAAGAAACTGTTCTGAAAGTCCACCTGTAAACGGTCAGTGGAGGGGGAGGATTAGGAGACTGACTGCCAGAGGGACTGCCAAACGCGGATATCTTACAAAGATGGCATCGATGGGCTTTGTGGGCTGCTCGTCGTCGTATTTGTACATGAAATTGTTCACCCAAAGGTCGCCGTGATTGAGGACGGTTATCTCACCGGGCAGGGAGCGGCCGGTGGTCACCAGATTCTCCTTAATGTTGTCGCAGTGGCGCTGCAGCTTGTCCGCAAGCTGCTCATAGCCGGGCCACTCGGCCACCAGATTGGCCAGCGTGCGCAGCTGCAGGGCCATGAAATTGATGAAACGCTCATTTGTCCTTATGTAGTTCTCGTCCAGCATGCCGCTGGTGAAGTGCTCCCCCACGCTGGGCTCCTGCAAAAACAAACAAAACGAGAGAAACGAACGATTGGGGTGGGGAGGGGGACACAGTGCAGGATTACGGAGGACTCACCTTTTGGGCGAGGATCATGGAGCTGGCATGGAATTTGCCCAGCTTCTTCAGTATCACCACGCAGTGTTCCTCGTTGAGGCCGCTCTGGCGGCTGGCCAACTTGTAGCCGTACTGGGTGAGGTCATCGAAGACGATCGTCTGAATGGGCTCGCGGGTTGTGTACAGGCACTTGGCCCCAAACTTGGAGCCGTCGCCGATGAGCACCTCCAGCTTGCCCAGCACATCGAAATAGAAGATCTTCTCGCGCAGATAGACGGCCAGCTCCTCGAGAAACTGGGTGGCCGGCGTGATGGCAATGCTCTTGACAATCATTGCCAGCTCCTCGTCCAGCTGCCGCTTGCTGCTGCGATATAGGGCCCTGGCCCGATAGATCTTGCTGCAGTAGTTCTCACCACCGCCGCCACTCGATTCCGCGAATATGATCTTCTTGATATCCACACGCATGTCCCGCAGGCCATCCTCCAAGGCGGCCTTGAAGAATTCCTCGTTCAAATACTTGGGCGGATCGCCACTGTGACGCTCCTTCTCCTTCTCTTTTCTCCTTCTCGCTCTCCAGCTTCATGCTGCTGTCGTAACCAGAACACTCCTTCTGATTCAAGTACCGGCCGTCAGTCAGTGTCCTGGCTATGGCTATCGCTATTCTCAGTATCGTGTCGCTTGTTCTAATCGTTCTGTGGATCGTGTGGATTGTGTCTGGCTTTCCTATTGGCTGTTCTATTGGCTCTATTGGTTGTTGCTTCTGCGTTTGCGTTGCTTGGGAAACTGTAGCCCGGCCAGGCGACTCCTCTAAATATAAGCCCTTATCAGCCGTCTGTCGGCAGCGACGCCAGCGTCGAAATCAAATAATTTGCTTCATACAAACAGATATATGCTAGACCATATCTCTGGCTATATACTCACCTCTCGGCATACATATCGGCTCGCTATGGCTATGGCTATGGCGATGACAGAGGCGGGCAGGCCACAGGCCACCTGTTATAATTTCCCATAAGCAAACGGATGCAGACGACCAGCTTGGCAGCTAACTGTAATAGCTTTGAGGGCGAAGTTTGACCGCTCTGCCCGATCGAACATCTCTGGGGCTCTACTGTGTAGCTTTTAGACACGGAATTTCCCATAAGCGAACGCTGTAACAGCTGTAACAGTCCCGCCCCTTCAACCTTCTCTGGGGTGGTCCGTCCCTGGCATTGGATCCACTGCACACAGACGGTCCATCCAGCCAAATACGACGTGTCCAGCATACTCTCTATATACACCACATAGACTGTACATATGTACATCTGGTGTTTGTAGGTATGGCTGAACAGATTTTGCTTTATAGCTGTCATTGGTCCAACTAAGTGATAAATGCGTCTGTGGCCATGCCAGCGGCGCTGATGCTGATTAAAGCAGTTCTATTTTCTACATAATCTCGGCGATTGTGCAGCACGGGGCACTGTATCATGAAATTTTGGAAAAAGAAAGCAAAGCGGAACCTTGCGCACAGAAAGAAAGAGAGAGATAGAGATTTATTCCGAGACGAGAATTTGATGCCCGTGTCAGGGAGTAGAGCTGAGAGTTGAGGGCTGAGAACTCAGAGACATTTCTGATCGGTTGCACTTGTTGTTGCAAAGACAAAAAAAAAAAAAAAAACGACAATGGAATGCTCGACTAGATTATTGCGATTATTATCATGTGTGTACAATACATACACGGAATCCAGCACGTGGGTCGATTTCGAATTCGAGCTTATCGAGCAGCTTTTACACACTGCTCCCCCGTACTATAATAATCCCATTAGCCCACCACACATCGAATCGATTAAGCCATAAACCTAATTACAAGGTAAACCTAGTCAATGATAGAACTGCTCTGGATTGAGCATAAAAAATACCCCTAAAGGGGTAGAAAATCCGCAACTTCCAAACAAAAAACTTTCTTCGAGAAATATTTAAAGCGAAAATGATCACAAAAGTATGCTAGCTAAAGAAACACACACACACACACACACACCAGCATAGAACAGATCTCTAGATGGTGGTATCTGTGGATATGCAATTAATAATACTAATAATATCATTCATTTATTCATTTGCAGCAGATAAGAATTTGAATGGTGACTTGGCCTCTGCTTTGGCCTTGAAAACAAAACAAACCAAATGCAGTGCAATGTCTTCTCATACATACATATATATAAATTATAATATACGTATTCATACTAATCATATCTACATATATGTAGGTTTGAATGTATTTTTTCTTTGCATTGCACAACAATAAAATTATGTCATTTTGGGCAGGGAGTTTTGCGGTTTTCGTGCCGTTTAATATTGGACTACGAGTATGTGGGAATGGGATGCCAATACGTGAGAATTGTGGATAAACTCTGCTCTGATGCATAACCAACCGGCTGATGCTGATACATCGGAAGAGTCGAGTCGAGTAGAGTCCAGAGATTTGAAGATACTATTTTGGGACAACCTTTGACTCGTGTCTGTCTGGCTGTCTGTCGCTTAATTAAATTCCTTTGAGAACGAACCACTTGGACATTGGGCTTGATACTAGTATTCGTCGCATTTGTGTTGACCCCCAATTGACATCGGGAATCGTTCTTCGGCATCTCTTCCGATTATACTTCCCCGTTAGACATACATATGTACAATATATTCCATCTATAGTGTCTAGTGTCTAATAATGCCTGGGCCAGTGGCCAGTAGTTAATCTCAAATGACGCATTAAACTACACAAAGTGTGCGATCGAAGAGCGCTTAATCATTACAAAAGATCTGGTATGGCCTTGGCAATGGAAGTGCAACATCTCCGAGACTACTTGGGCCACAGATGAGGAGAGACCGCAGTGTTCAGTGCTCAGTGCCCAGTGCTCAGTGCCTAGTAGCCACTACCCCCGTATCTGTATCTCTGTCTGTATTCGGTTTCAGTTTTAGGTTTTACGTTCTGTTTCGGTTTCTGTTTCTGTTTCCGAGGCGCTGCCAGAGACGCAATCCATAATTGCAGTTCAGTGAAGGTTATCTCTCACTCACGACAACGAAAAGAAAGCAGAAAGTCTAAGGGACAAACGGAAATGGAAACCGAAACCGAAACCGATAGAGGGTGGTGTACACTGTACAGTATATATAATATTGCTATAATATATATATATATATATATATATTATACTATATAGTGTTGAGTACGAGTAGTGTGAGAAATGTATGCGCCATGGAGGTATTCGTATTACTGCATGTTCTAGAAGTATCTACACTCATTATCAGTTGATAGTTCGCATAGGAATGGCCATCTAGCAAACAGTATGTATATGACCTACGTCTACAATAACTATTTACTATAGGTACTACATACATATGTATCTAATGCCGTACATATCTACGTACATTATATGTATCTGTTGTCTAAGCAGACAAATATATAGAAACCTTCGCTCCTTTGTATCTCCGCCTCGGGAGAGAACACTACAATAGAACACAATCTATGCAAGCACTCGACTCCAATCCGATCCTATCTGAAGATCGATACCCCTCGATACCCAATACTTACACCTCAATAGATAGATAAACATGCGATTTTAGATACCCTCCAGCAGCGTAAAGCAATTACAATTACAATCACCAGATGGCAGCTACGGAATAGACTTCCAGTTAGACTTAAAATAGTGTTAGAAACCCAAGCAACCGAAAATTAGCTAAAGAAAATGGTCTGTTTTTGTTCTTGTAGGGTTTGTCAACCCATTAAAGCACAGCCCTTTCTCCATAGATTTAGATTAGATGAGCAATACTTTAAACGACGCCTAAATAATGTAATTATGCACTACAAATTTAGGGACACAGGATATAATTTTTGTTCGACTTTTCCTTAGTTTTTAAAGTCAAATTTAAAAAAAAATACCGAACAAAAATCATTAATTTTTTTAATTTTAAATTAATAATTTTTTTAAATGCCTAAAATAATTCTTTTATACACAGAAAATGTAATGACACGCGCAGGATATCTTTTTTTTTCAACTTTTCCTTAGTTTCAATTTTGGGATCTGAAAGCTTTATATTTCCCAGACGGTAAGCTGAGACCGCAAATAGCTTAAATCCAATTTATAGCGGCATATATTAGCTTTTCGGAATGGCAAAAATGATTACAACCAGATGTAAATTACTTGAGATGTGTACAAAAAATTGGCACTACATCTTAAAAAAGCATTTAAAAATAAATATAATTATTTTTTTAATTAAAAAAAAATTCTGCCATAGACAAAATTGTCTATAAGCTTTTTAAAGCCACAAATCTATCAAAAGAAAGTTAGTTTGCTACGAAGCTGAATAATTGTGTCGGGTGGTGTTATTTGAATCGTTTAGCCAAAAAAATATTTCTAGATTTTTTGCTCTACCCAAACACAGCTTTGGAGGGACTCAAAATTTGAGCTATACAGGCTTTCGTCTATATTCTAACGCCAATTGCGTAGCAGCTGCAGAGCATTGAGAGCTTCGCTTTGGCCGAATCGATTCTCTGATAGAATTGTGTCAAAACTCAAGCAAGCAACAAATTGTTTACTTAGCTTTTCATTCCATATCTGTCGCTGTTGCTGTTGCTGTCTCTGCTCTCTGGTTTTTGTTTCTGTTTTTGTATGTAGCCAGCGAGTCCGGCATGCCGCCCAGTGCCAGATTACCAGTGCCAATACTTAGATGAGATATGTACCTTAATTTTATTTTTGGAGTGGAGGCAATTTGCTACTGCGCAAAAAGTGCATTAAACTTGAACCAAATGCCGATTGTCGACTCCCAATTGTCAATTGCCACACCAAACCACACCAAACCAAACCAAACCAAACCAACCAATCGTTCTCGCTCCCTGGAAGCAACATGCGGAGTCTTCCAGCCAAGTACGCAGATAGTAGCTGGCCCTCTACGGGCCATAATCATAATCTGCCGATTGCCAATCAAGAAACAATGACTGTTCATGCACATGAACAGGATCCAACCGCAGACAACGCACACAAAATACAGTCCACTTGAAGGAGGCCTACAAACCCGCAGTTATCTCAACTCTAGCAGATCGTCTCATCAACAACACCATTGGGTCCTTCGATCCGCATTCATTATTGAGAATAGTCTGGAGAATAGAAGTCGTATCAACAATGACCATCCAATGCGACCCAAGTAGAGAATTGGCCTCGAGGTATTGGATACTGAACTGGCAAAAATCTATATGAGATTTTAATCCTATTGAAATATGTGAATCCTCGATTAAAGTGCATTCGAATACAACCAAGACAAGTTCCTTTATGTGCTCTCAAATTAGATATTTTCATCCCAATGGAGTTGCAGATGATTCCAGAGGACAGAGGAAAGTATTTCCGATCCCAAATGCCGCCAGCCGAAGAGCCAATTTGGATTTCCAAATCATTAAGTATCAGTCTCTCAGAAATATTTAAATAAGGCAAACAAATTAGGAGTATCTCCTGTTGTGTCAAATTCCTCAGGTCGATTATTCCTATGCAGTTAATTAATATATACATATACATATGTAGATATAGACACAGATTTCCATTCCAACTCATTTTATTCCATATTTTAATTAGCTCGAAATAGTCCCCCAACGACACTAAACTATGTAATACCTAGCCGGTATTTTCTAATTCAATATGCCCAAAACAAAGAAAAATCTCTTTGCTCCGCAGCAACCCTTTTTTGCATAAGCTCCTTGCAGCCGTGGCAACCCTGGCACATTTTCACCAGTCATCGGGGACATTTCACAGAGGAGAAAAAAACAATTTTTCTGCAAGTTAAAGATGAATTTCAATTGGCCTGATTATGAAAACCGCGATCTATTTGGGTACTATGTAAGTTCATCTATTCCCACGCGTACGCTACCGCGCCTTCCCATCACAAACATCCGCCTTCATCCGCCATTCGACCTGCCCATAGATTGCCCCTAGAAGCAGCCCCCAGGGAAAACAGATTCCCAATAAGGAGACAGTGGAGGACAAGCCGTTCTTTGCCAGCAACATTGAGCACTATCCGCACTTGCCGCAGCCGAACGGCCTCAGCTGGGTGCCCAAGTACCTGACCTACGCGGATCTGTCGGAGGCCGTGGACAAGGGCTTCGACCCGATACAGTTGCGCCCAGCCAACCAATGCTGGTCCCAGCTCAAGTCTCAGGGCCAGACTCTGTTCGATTGGCCGACATACACTCAGTCTCAAGTCCAGTTGGGAGCCAACAATGAAAAGCAGGAGAATTGGCGTCTGCCAAATGGCGAAAACATGGGACCAGCAGTCGCTTACAAAAACTCCACTACCTGGCCAAATCTGGCCAATCAGCAGTTCGCGGGAGCTGCCGTAGCCCCCCAGCAGCGCGCCCCGTATGGATATGGCACCGATATGCATTACTGAACAATTCACAACTATAATTAAAGGAGATGTCAATAAATAGGAAACAAAATAGAAACATTTCATTCTGCAATTTGTTGGTTAGCTTTAGCTTGTTCAGAGTTGTATTTACTCGCACAATCGATGTATGCCGACAGCGTGAGTGTGGCAAAGCGATACCACACTATCAAGTGCGTGGGTTTTCTATTATTTTCGTCATTCCCAGGATGCGGGAGGGAATACGATATCTGGACAAGAGCATCGTTTGAAATAGAGGCGTATATTACAGATATGTATATAGATATATCATGCAACCAGAGCATTATCTGGCGAGTCGGTATTTCGCTTTAAGTATCTTGGTATTTTTTGTACAAGATTTGTAGAATTATCGATTGCTATCCCTCTACAACCCAGTGGTGCCTCAAAATTATTGACGCCTCATAAAAGTTATTTTGAAATCAGTTTTAATTCAGAATTCTAGGAGAATATCAGAATAACAGCAACACTGGACAAGTCTCAATTATCTCCGTTGAAGAGATGCCCGAGGAGGGAACTGAAACTACCCGTATCTGTAAGTTTTAGCCGTATTAATCCCGTGCAAGGGACTAAATGTTCTGATTTTCAGTTAATCGTAGGCACATGCCTCTCAACATATCAGTACTCACCCCGACATCACCAAGAATGTTGATTGACTTGCGTTCGCCGGACAGACCACACCTCCCACCACTAGTCTGGAAAGCTCCCATGAAGGCGCCAATACTTTCGACTACAGTTTCCAGCACGGTAGATGTCGACGCCAGCGGCCCGTCGACTTTTATGCGCGGGCGCAACGACCAAAACGAGTCGTCGGACGATGTTTACGAGTGCCCTGTGTGTCTGGAGGACGTGCGTTGCCGACAGCCAGTGTCGACAACACGTGGACACGTTTTTTGTCGCGCATGCATCGAAAGATCCATACACTCCATACACAAGTGCCCAATGTGTAACAAAAAACTGACTGACTCTCAGATTAATCGTATTTATTTGTAAGCCTGCACTCGACCCACTCGATACACTAGTCATTGGGGCTTCTTCCCGAATTTTCATTGTATTCAAAGGTAGACTGGGGCACTACCTCTTTTGGCTTTACAAACAAACGTTGTGCTAAATTAAAGATTTTATTGGCTTCCATTTCTTTGGGATCCTTAGGCCTCAAGAAAGCCCAGACTGTACGTTTTAAGGACTTACACTATTATTGTTTACAGATAAAAACTAAGACAAAAACTGAAGCCTTTACGAGCAGCAGGGGCAGCTTGAAAATGAGAGGATCCTTGGTGCGTAGTATCGGTTCAGCAATGAGGACTGGCGGCTCCGTTGCGTCGCCGACAAAGTCGATGTGGTACGTTGGCGACAATGGCCTTGATCTCGAAGCTGTTGGGCTCACTGAATAGGTCCTCGTGGCGACCCAGGAATAGGGGCGAGATGCCGATGCTTGTGCCAACAGGAATGAGCTTGTCTCTTTGATGCACAGATTCACATAATGGAGTTTGTTGAGCAGCTCGTTTTTGAGCGTGGTGCTCGCACTTGCACGCACTCACGCTGTCCCCATACAAGGAAATACAACTCTGAATCAGCTAAAGCTAACCAACAAATTGCAGAATGAAATGTTTCTATTTTGTTTCCTATTTATTGATATCTCCTTTAATTATAGTTGTGAATTGTTCAGTAATGCATATCGGTGCAATATCCATACGGGGCGCGCTGCTGGGGGGCTACGGCAGCTCCCGCGAACTGCTGATTGGCCAGATTTGGCCAGGTAGTAGAGTTTTTGTAAGCGACTGCTGGTCCCATGTTTTCGCCATTTGGCAGACGCCAATTCTCCTGCTTTTCATTGTTGGCTCCCAACTGGACTTGAGACTGAGTGTATGTCGGCCAATCGAACAGAGTCTGGCCCTGAGACTTGAGCTGGGACCAGCATTGGTTGGCTGGGCGCAACTGTATCGGGTCGAAGCCCTTGTCCACGGCCTCCGACAGATCCGCGTAGGTCAGGTACTTGGGCACCCAGCTGAGGCCGTTCGGCTGCGGCAAGTGCGGATAGTGCTCAATGTTGCTGGCAAAGAACGGCTTGTCCTCCACTGTCTCCTTATTGGGAATCTGTTTTCCCTGGGGGCTGCTTCTAGGGGCAATCTATGGGCAGGTCGAATGGCGGATGAAGGCGGATGTTTGTGATGGGAAGGCGCGGCGGCGTACGCGTGGGAATAGATGAACTTACATAGTACCCAAATAGATCGCGGTTTTCATAATCAGGCCAATTGAAATTCATCTTTAACTTGCAGAAAAATTTTTTTTTTCTCCTCTGTGAAATGTCCCCGATGACTGGTGAAAATGTGCCAGGGTTGCCACGGCTGCAAGGAACTAATGCAAAAAAGGGTTGCTGCGGAGCAAAGAGATTTTGGTTTGTTTTGGGCATATTGAGTTAGAAAATACCGGCTAGACAAGCCTTTTTCGGGGGGTACAGTAGAAATATGCAATTAGTGTAAGTCCTTTAGAGAAAAACTATTCGAATTTGGTGGTGGATTTGAGAGAAACTAAAGTCGCTTTGTGCTACTTTTTGTGTTCTAATGTTGGACTTGAGCGATAGCTAAACAAACAAAAATAGTCTGAAATATTAAATATAGCGATCTGCATATCTCAATCTCACTTTTGGCTTTAGGTTTATTTGCAAACTGTTTTGTTTGCCCATTGTACAAATGTATGTAAATTTATGAGCATGCATGAGCATATTTACGAGTCATTTTCCTGCGCTCTGGTGTTTTTTTTTGTGAGTATGAATACTGTTTTCAGCGTTTTCAATATTTTCTTCTCGCCAAGCTGGAGCGCACGTCGCCGCTTAGTTGATAATCGACCGCCCCCCAGTGCGGAGCTGCCACAAAACCGTTGAAATTACCCAAAACAACAAAAAAAACGACAAGGAACGTGTGAGTAGCTTCTTCGGACGCGACTCTGTTTTTATACGCGTACTAAGTCAGGATATAAACTTGTGAGCTTCTGATTTATGTAGAATTTTAAAATATTTTACATTTTTTTGTTACATCTGTCAACTACATCTTACATGTTTATTCTACATCTTAAATGTACACTTCTTCGTCGACATAAAATCATAAAAAAAAAAACCTAACTGAACTGAACATATCCGGTCATTGCAGACTTATAGTCATGCGGACACCATATTCGCTTTCGCGATAAAAATATAAAATTAAAAACAAAAGAGACAAAATCATAAATCCAATAGTTCGTACTGTATTGGAAATTGGAAATAGCTGCAGCGTCGGAAAAAACATAACCTTAACAAAAAGTGTTAAAGACACGTGTCGATACACGGAAAAAAATCAATATACGAGAGTGTCCTCCACATACGACTTAACCACCAGTATCTGATCAATGTGGCGATATAGCTGCGATCAAACCCCAGTCATTCATGCGATGATTTAATCACAAAAAAAAAAAACTTCTATGTAGATTCTACATCTTCTCTGCGAGCGAGAAAGAGAAAAGGTAGCGTCAGCAGCGCCGGAGGAGGTGGGGGTAGCCACTGCAAATTAATTTCTTTATTCTGGTTGTAGTAATGATCCGGTCTGATTCAGATTCGGCAATCTGGTAGATATGGTCATTCTCTACAATACCACGATTTTACTTTTCTGGTATCTTTAAAATTGTGGCTGCCACAGATTTTCGTCCTTTGTAGAGGCGGAAGGGGGCGGGGCGAAATTTGTAGCAGTGTGATATCACAAAAGTCTGGAAACAAAATTTGGTTGCTTTAGCTCTTTTAGTCTCTGAGATCTAGGCGACAAACAAGGTGGACGGACGGACAGACAGACATAGACTCGAGTATTAACGCTGATCGAGAATACATATACTTTATGGGGTCGGAAACGTTTCCTTCTCTGCGTTGCACACATCCACTTTTACCAAAAATCTAATATGCCCCTTATCTCTTTTTGACTACGGGTATAATAACAGTTAGTGCCATACGAGGACTCACAGTTACAGTTACCAATGCTGGTGAGTGCGCGAAGGACTTGTTTCGCTCTCTTCTTCATCCGATTTCTCTCCACTACTATACATACATACGTACATATTTATGCATGTACTGCTCTCTCCCACAATAGCTACCTATTTTGCTTCATAAATCAACACAGAACGTGGCCAAATGTGGGCCAAATGTGCCTCTCGGAGAGTGGATACACACCTTTTGTTATGTACACGCATACACTCAAGAAAAATAAACGGTAAACATCTTTGTTGTGATCTCAAAATCCAAATATGACCGAGTGACCCCATTTGTTGCTCCCTTTCTGCCTTCTGCTTTGTTTTCTTTTTTTTTTGCGCTGGTCTGAAATGACCTCGCAGAGGATATTAAAACTTTTGCGTGACGTTGGAAACGCAAACAAATAGTATTCTTGATCAATCTTTGTTGTTTTTTTATGATTCCGCAGAACTCAAAGAAATGTTATACAAATTAAATCATAACCATATGTCCATAATTTTCATGGGAAGGAAAGGGGAACAACAGCATCGTATTTCGAAGCTTGCCTTAATTTCTTGTTATATTTTTTTGCGTGAATTATAATTTGGAAAAGGCGCCAGAGTGATTCAACAAGTGGCCGGGGTGAGGGCGTGGGATAAGCCTTGAAGCTGAAATGCAATTTGAAATGGCATTGAAACAGTGGAGCTGTGGTATGGATGCCCCCCAGATGCATGCGTGCGGACTGCGGCGAGTGTTCAATGGATGCACCATGAAAAATTGTATCTCAGAAAGAGCCGTCCCAAGTATTGTACGTGCCTCGCACTGCCATGCGCTGCGCGCGGCCCACTATCGCGTGCTATTTCTGTTTAGAATTTTCAGCACAAAAGAAACCGAAAAGTCACTCGGAGCAGCTCTTATCAAACGTTCCAAAAAGCCAAGTTCCCAATCACGAATTGAGAAAAAGCTTCCTCCTAGTCGAGTTCTACGCCACATTGACCATGCGAAAGCTGCCTCAGGCAGTGGGTGTGGTGGCCCTGGCCCTGCACAGTGGTCCGCAGGCAGGCAAAACGGTGTGGGCAAACAAATATGGTGTCTTGGGCAGGCAAAAAAAAACCCAAATTTCAGGCAGTGACACGCGCTTGCATGTCGTTGGTGTAATCTACCCTGACCTACGACCCGACGACTGGTCGCACTTAACTACCTGCTAACTACTGGGCTCACCGCTTATCGGTCCCAATGTGTTTTTAATCTATTTGTGACTGATTCCTTGGGCCTGGCCTGACTTCCTATAAATGTGCGAATATGAGGGCATCCCAGACAGTTGACTTTATAAACCCGTGCAGTTCGGTTGTTTTCAGTAGTTCAGTGTGAATATACTCCAAAAAATAGTACACAAAGATTGAAAGTATGACATGAAAAAACATTAAAAGTATTTGTTATTATTGAATATTGTCATTGAAAGTGATAAAAATTTAATCTCTACTACGGACATTAATGATTGGGTAAGTTTTTTTAAAATACGATATAATTATTTTTATATTTTATAAAATTCGGGTAGCCTGTCCCTTTATCCGATTACATTTATGTTTACTATACTCCAGCAAATTCTCATTTAAATGAACGACTTGACAATAAAATATTTCATTGTATGCAACTTTGAGCATAGTTTTGCTCCAGTGTGATGCACAGATGTGCGCCAGTGATAGCTGAGTGAAAGCTCAATGCCGCTAAACGGTTACAGTGCGGTGTGCGAAACACTGATAGCGCGGCGAAAGAGATGGCAACAACAGCCGCAACGCAACAGTCACTCACTCCATGACCAGAGATGATGACACTCAAATTGGGTTAGGCGCAATATGTGAGGCATGCGTCAGAGCGCTTCGCTCCGCCTGACTTTTTCTTTGTTCTGTTGCCTCCAACAGACCACCTCCAACAACCTCCAACCCGACGCGAACGTCGACTGCGACCGCGACCGCGACTGATATCATTTGATTTCTCTCCTGCGCAGCTGGCTGCGCTTCTCTCCTCCTCACATTTGAACTCTTTCTTTCGCCGCGATATTCTTGGAATTATGCACAAAGACAGTGCAGCGCCTGTGAGCGAGTGCGAGAGGGAAGGAATGCGCGAGCGCAGGCACGAACGGCGCTCTGCTCTCGGTCGCGTTCAGAGTCAGCTGCAGCAGCAGCGACAGCAGCAAAACAAATCGTCCGTCCATTTGAGCTTCAATCATACACGGGGAGGTCCAACAAATTGGGCGGCCAGCGAACGAGAACTTTGTGTGCCGTTTCTTGCGCTAGATTCTTAGCAAATTAACTGTGTTTTTTTTGTGTGTCGTATCGTGGTTGATTCCTTTGAGGTCAGAGTGCTTTACAATACGCGCAGTCCGCGGAAGAGAGCAAGGCGGAGGCGGAATGTGCCCCGAAAGTTTTACATTCAAGTGCTGCGTAGATGATCATTTTGTGACGCCAAACGGGAGCATACCAGACAACGTTGGCGTCTCTTTGTGTTTGCAAAGAAGATATTTTGCATTAAACGAACTTTAAACTATGCAAATAGCAAATAAGTGCCATAAATAGAAAACTACAGCAGCCACGGCAGCTGTGAAGCTGCAACAAACGCGTCATGCTGCTGGAAAGGTCAAACGGAGACCAGGAAAACATGCTCCCACAGACCCACGCGGCATTTAAACGGAAGCCCGAACAGGAACGGGAGCTGCAGCCCAAGCAGCACAAGAGATCCTTCGATCCCCGGAACTCCAGCAACACGAATTACTACAACAATAGACAACAGGCGAAAATGTATTCTAATCCCCATAGGCAACGGATGTTTGTCCAGAACAGACCCCCCATAAGTGTAGCAACGACACCCCCACCGACATTGCCCAACACTGGCAGTGATGAAAACAATCCAAAACCAACAACAATGTGAGTGAAGTGATGTGATGTGACTCTTTCGTTATTTGCTTTGCTCTGCTCTTCTCTGCTTTGGTTTGGCCAACTCAACTTGTTTTTTATTTGACGCGCTTTAATCGCGCGCGCACCGAACAGCTGTGACCAGAGAAGCAATCAGCTGGGCACAGTGGTGCGATGTCGCTTTGTTTTTGTTGATGAAACGAAATCAAATTGAAATTGCAGCTTAATTAAGTGATGCAATTGCCAAGGGAATTATTATTGTGTAGTGTACATCTTTGGAAAGGCGAAGGAATATTTAAGACCAACCCCACCAAATTTATTTAAACGAATTTGCATGTCTTCATGTTAATTTTCAATAAATATAAAAAAAAAAATAACTGCTACAATTCCACTGTGCAGTGTCGCTGCTGACACTTGACCAAAACTTGACCTGTCAAGGATAAATCTCTCGCTCATACCCCTTCCTCTCCTTCTCTGTTTTTAATAAATGATGCGCAGCAGAAAGAGAAACAAAAACATCATCACACGGCAATAAATGGGCCGGCAAACAGGGAAAGAGACAGAGGGAGAGAGAGAGAGCAGACAGGCAACGCACTCACGAGGTTGAAGCACGACAATGAACTTCAGGCGACGAAAGAAAAGTTTGTTTTCGAGGTTAAATGTGGTCCCGAATGATGGGAAGAGCACGGGAACAAGCTAGGGACAGCAAAGAACAACAAATAACAACACAGAGAGTGACAGTGATAGTGAGAGAGAGAGAGACAGTGTAGAAATGGCATTGGCATTTGTTGTGCTTCCTTTCCCTTCCCTCCCTCCCTCCCGCAAGCTCTTTCTTTCTGAACTGCCAAAATATCAGCAGTTTCTACTTAGCGCCCCATACAATACCATACCCGCATTTGTATATCGAAAGCTCAAAACAAACGGAATGAAAATTAAATAAACAGTAGGTTCAATGCACTAAAGTCGCAGTAGAATTCAATTTGCACACAGCACAAGCCACAGGCATAAATATGAACAAACACACACTCACACACCCTAAACGCACACAATTGTACCCAAAGAAAGCGTCAGATAGCGTAAGCTTTTCGCTCATTTGGCCTTCAGAACCAGCCTCAACTTGCACTCGGAAATGTAAATCGCATTAAACGCATACACATTAACATTTACATATGTATGTACATATATCCATTATCCATTTTAGTGTAATCAGGCAGGAGCGTAGTGTGGAAGGGGTTATCGCGATTAACACTAAAAGTGGTCAATATGCGAACCAAATGATGCTCCCAAATGGTTAGAAAGTCAATATTAATACTTAAAGAACATATTAAATTATGTGCATTAAAATATACGTGCAATTTGGTCGGTTTTGTACAACAAAAAGTTAAGGCAACTCTGCATTTTGTAGGCAACCCTAGAGGTGGCCAAATATTTAATCTGTGAAATTTAGTTATTTTTTTCATCGGCTAACCATGTTGGGTAAATTATCAGATGGAGTTGTTTCAATTGAATTATTCCGGTATTAAGTGGACCATCGGCATACCTTACGTTGAGTGTGCAAAGATGCAATCGAAGCTAACGCAGATTTGAACTGTTTTAAAATAATTAATCTGTCAAATTTAGTTCTTTTTTTTTCATCGAGAAACCAATTATTAAATGGAGTTGTTTCAATTGAAGTATTACGGTCTTAAGTGGAGTGTGCATAGATGCAATCAAAGCGAACGCAGATATTAACTGAACAAAACATATGTATATATTTACTTGCAACATTTGCAACATCTCAATGACAATGACGCACGCATACATTCACACGTTCGCATTCAGTGCGTTTGTGTGCGTGCATTGGAAACAATACACGAACGAAAAATTTTATACCCGATTATTTGATGTTCAAAATGTTTATTAAATGTTACAAATGTTATGTTGCCTATGTTCAAGAGATGGGGTGCGTTCGTCCTGCTGTAACATATTCCATTACGAAATTATATCCTGGCTTTTGCGCTGGCTTGCAAAAAGCTGCCATCAAGGCTATAAATCTTCAAATTTGTTGAACGTCTGCAATGATTTTCACAAAAAACTGCGAGATGAAAATGTTTGTTTGCTGTTGCGATAAGTCCCTTGCACCAAGTGTCGCCGAAAAGAGTTCCCCCCATACATAAATATTGCGTATACGCCACGTGGTGCTAAAAATATATTTTACTTATCAATTAATATGAAACAAATGCATTCCGTCGAGTAACGCAAAAATGCAATTAAGTATTAATTCAATTAAGAAACTTCCGCACAAAGCGAAACCACCAAAAACAACAACATGTCAGTGTGCTTCAATTTCCGTATTAATCAGACAGATCCCGCGATCTGATGCAGATTGCAGTTCATCTTTGCTTAATTTTCGGTTCGGTTGGTTTCTTTATTTTTGGGATACTTTTTTTTGACATCAGGTGGCGGCTGGATGTCTCCACCTGCACCTCCTCCTCCTCCCAAACGTGTTTGCAAATGAATCTATATATGTACATATGTACATATACATATATGTATGTATGTATACTTTATGTATGTACATGTGCATATACGTTTACTTAATACTTCCTGTGGCAGTGGCAGATGAACAAAGGCAGAGCGACGGAGACGTGGGCAGGAAATGCTCGAATTATAAATTAAAATAAAAACAAAAATGTTGTTGTCTTGTAATTGTAGTTTTTATTCTTATTATTTTGTTGCTGCTGCCTTTACCCTGTCTTTGCGAAGTAAGATGAATATATTAAATTCGAGCATAGTCTTAAAGTTTTATACAACTCAAGAAGCCTGTTCAGATTATGATTCTACTTTCTCCGTTATCATTCTATGGCACAGACATAGTCCACCTTTTCTGTTGACTAAAGGACCCCTTTCAAAAGAATTCCCATGCCCAGGCCATACATCGTGATATTACCTCCTACTAGGGTATAGCCCAGTTCGACACTTGCGATTGCATTTGTGTTGCACTTATTTTTGTTTATTGCCGCCTGACCATGAGAGGAGATTGCCATGCAATGCAAATTGAATGACGACAGCCACCAGCAGCAGCAGCAGCAGGCGCAGGCGATGATAATTTACAATTTATTAATTATTTAGCGCATTGCCCTGGCATCCCCCCATGGCGGGAATGGGATGGCGGATGGGCACAACGCACACCCCAAACAAAGCCCCTGGCAAGAGTCGCCTACCCCAACAATTTGCGTTGTGGCAAAGACAAGGTCAGAGTCAGGGTGGGATCGGATAGGGGTTCACTCACCCAAGTGCCACCATCCGCCACATGCAGCTGATTCTACATCATAGACACGCGCGCGACAACCGGATGCGGAGGCAGCGCATGCAGGGGGGAGGGGTTTGACAGGGGCACGCTGCTGCAATTCCCCCAAAAAAAAAAAAAACAGTTCAAGCACCTGCTATCTCTCCCTCTCTCTCTTGTGCTCTTTCACTTTCCCTCTCACTCCCCAGCTCTCTTTTCGGTGACCGATTAAAGCGGCCTGCGCACACGCTTTTCGCAAATAAAACCCTAACGGTTCGGTTCGTTACTCCGATAAGAGCTTTTGTGCACGCGAAAAGTTCAAAGTTTCATAGGGAAAGAGCTGAAAGAGCAACAGGAAAGAAATTGTTGGGCTTGCAATCAACGATTCGATTGAGTAATCGATGATTGCGATTGAATCGATAAGGCTATGGCCAATGCACCACAACCTGAAGCTACATTTAAGGCCAAGAAAGATATTCACAAAATATTTAGATATTCGATCTTGAAATGGCTTTAGGGTTTTACGATTTTCGATTTATTTAATCTTTATTTGTCTAGCAATTTCCTTGCATTTTTCTACAGCTTGTACTAATTTTGAATACCCTTTTTTCTATCTTTTCAGGTGAGTAAAATATATTTCCTATTAGCTTGACACGAGACTATATGTATGTCTGCCTGTCCAGCCCCTGAGTAAGTGCCACGCCTCCCTTTTCATGTAAAACCAATCGGTAAAAACATAAAAATTTTTCGAACCACAAAACAAAAACAAAGGAAATAGCTAAAATATGTGCAATAATTCACAAAGAAGTTAGAGAAAAAATAAGAGAAGAAAACAAACAAGAAAACACTTAAAAAATTCATTTGGAAACTGCGCATTTGTTCAAGAGTTCCCCCAAGACTAAAATTTAGATACGTATGTACATATGTATATACGTAAAATATTTATATAAAACTTGTTGCGTTTCGTAAACAATTAGCATGAAATGCAATGTACTAAATAAATTTCGAAGCGCGCATAAATTCAATCGGATATCAGGGCGGACTATGGCCAAAATGTGGGTTCATAACCACCCAAAATAAACAAATAAAAACAAGCTAAAAGCCAGAGGCAGGGTGGCTGAGGAGGTGGTAGAGGTGCAAGAGGGAGAGAGAGAGAGATGGAGAGAGTGTGTGTCTATAAGGCGTGGAGGGATCAGGTTCAATGGCCAAAACACACAGCAACACAAGGCGACAGACAACAGCCAAAAAGTCACCCAGCCAGATGGGTTGTTGGCCAAATTGAATTGAATTGGAAACAAGTTCAATGTTGGGGGGGGGGGATGGTTGGATGAAGGAGGAGAAGTAGCTTTGGGGCATGGTTTATGAGGGAGGTTCCATCGACGCGTCGGGGGTAGCAGCCACGAGTCAACCAAGTCATTAACATTCTCTGGACAACAAATAATTCATTGAACCTGAAAGACACAGACACAGGCACAGCCAGATACGGATAGAAAGTAGAAGGAGATACACAGATACATGACCAGACAACTGTTCTTGCCTCACACAGTGGCGTGACTGTGGCAACGGCGTCGGCTGGCTGGCTGGCTGGCTGGCTGGCTGGCTGGCAGGCTGCAATTTCCCTTTCTTTTGTTGCTTCCTTAATATCTTTCCTGTCGAAATACTTGAGCGAAGTGGCTCATTTGGGATTTATTGGGCAAGGACACGTGTCGTGCCTTGTTCTTGGTCTTGGCTTGGAATGAGGACA